AAAAGGGGGGCAGGTGTCTCACATGGGGAGAGCAGAAACAAAAGAGGGAGGATCCCTGACTTATAAACAACCAGACCTCAAATGAACCAACTGAATGAGACTTTACTTATCATCAAGGGGATGGTTCTAAACCATTCTTGAAGGATCTGACTCTGATCCAATTACTTCTACCAGACCCCCACCTCCAACACTGGGAATCACTTTTCAAATAAAAGTTTGGAGTGGACAAACATCCAAACTGCATTAGTTTCTTCTGTTTAACATTTTTTTAAAAAACACGATTGCTGTGGTGAACAAAATTCTTATTAACCATTTTATACACAGTCCTAGACTGATGGCGTCAAGGTGAGTCTAGTATAAAGCCAGCACAAACTCAAAGTCCCTCCTTACTTACCTTAAAAAGGACCTGGGAATTTTCCAACTCACAAAAATTTTAAAAAGTTCAGTTCTACCTGTCCAACCCTGACTCACAGCAATATGACTAAATAAAAATGGGGTCACATGAACTGCCAGAAATTATATTTTAAGTTACATAGTTACATAACACCAAGAACATCTAAGGACTTACCCTACCAAAAGACTGGTTATTTATTATCCTCCAAAATCAAGAGTCTCCAGACTTTTTCTAGAACTAGACTGGTCACATCAGTCATATAAGAAACTATCCAGGAACTTCAGTAAACATGTTTCTCACTCACCCTGGAGCTGTTTTTAAATACTCAGCAAATTAGGCAGTAACAATTTTCCTTATTTTTACTTTAAAGGGCAGGAAAAAAGCTTCCCTTCAGAAAGAAATATCTCTTACAAACGAGATCAGCTCTGACCACCTAAGAGTCAAAAAATTCTCTTCCAGTGAAAAGAATGTGAACTGCTTCTAATGGTTTTTCCTTCCTCTTTGTCTTATCAGTACTATGGCAGGCTTATTTTAAAAATCTTACTTTTATGAAGATTTGTTTTTTACTGAAAGTTAGGCTGCATATCTTGATTGTTTTTGTTTTTTGGGGGCTTTTTCTGGTAGAGATGGGGGCTGATCTTGAACTTGTGGCCTCAAGCGATCCTCTTTCCGTAATCTCCCAAAGTGTTGGAATTACAGGCTGACTTCTCTTTCCTCACCAGCAAATAAAATCAGTGTTATCAATGTTCTTGACTTGAGTCCAAATTTTAGACTTTGAACATTACCTGTCCTTCTCTTACAAGTAGGGAGTTTTTAAAAAGTGGAGGGGACTCTGGGATTGGAGATAACTAAGTGAAACATATAATGAATGCAAAGGAAATAAATAGTTATGCAGAGGTAAGTGTCAGAACTTGATAACAAACCTATGTTAAATATACAAACCCACAATGGATAAAGAAATCTGACTCCCATTCTTACAGAGTCCCTGTGCTTTCCCCAAAAGATTATTTATATTTACACTCAAATATATAAATCCAAATACCTTATTTCATCCACAAAACAGTTCTACACAGAGTCACACAGAGCTTTATGTTATTTTCAAATTGTGTGTGGAAAATTCCATGAAAAATGTTTAACTTCAACTTGGGTTACAGGAGCCACCCACGGACAAAAAGGGCATCTTCTGTGGAACCTAGAATTTTATGTGGCACAGAATAAATTTAAGTTGAGAAATTAAGAAACGTCCTACATGAATGTACTCTTTGCTTGTCTATAATCCTGTTATTTCTTCAGTGTTTCTTCTGTTTTCTCCATCTCCCTTTTCTGCAAAGGTAAGAGTATCAATTTAACACACAGTGTACAAAAAGTAAAGAGAAATATACGATAAATGCTTTCTAATGGTGATAGTAAAAATAGTACTGTGTATTAGGAAATGCTGCCATTCTCATCTTTGGCAATAAATCTACAGGGCACTCAATATTCATAGATAACTAGCACTGGGTTTTTTTAAAGCAATCTAGTTCATGCATACAAAAACAGGACCATGTGGCCATGCACAGTGGCTCACAGTTGTAATCCCAGCACTCTGAGAGGCTGAGGAGGGCAGATGCTTGAGCCTACAAGTCTGAGACCAGCCTGGGCAACATGGTGAAACCCCATATCTACCAAAAGTACAAAATTAGCTAGGCCTGGTGAAGTATGCCTACAGTCCCAGCTACTTGGGAGGCTGAGGTGGGAAGATCACATGAGCCCTGGAAGCAAAGGGTGCAATGAGCTGGGATCGTACCCTTGCACTACAGCCTAGGTGACAGAGACAGACCCTGTCTCAAAACAACAACAAAAAAGCAGGACAATTTTCCATAGTTAAGTATTGAAAAGAACGTTTGATTGGAATTCTAATTTCAAAATGAAAATTATTTTTAGAAGAGCTTATATAATTTTATTTCATAAATTTAGGTCATTATAACTATGTGCTAATTCTGAGGAGAATCAACAAAAGTTGATTTTCCTTATCCAAACAAAGGTAATTTTTCCACAAAGATACCTCTTAATTCTTTGTTATCTAAAACACTTTTTGCTGAAGCATCTATTGACTCTATTGAATCATTCTATTGGCAAATTTCTCTTCTATAATTGTTAACAAATCTAACTCTGTCACAGCCTCTCCTCCACAAGGCACTTTGCATGTGACTGCAACTGTTCTCCAAAGGTTCCTTCATGAACATCATGAAATATTGCAGTTTTCCATTATCTGTAATTTTGCTTTACATTCAATTCATACTATACTGTAACTAGAGAATCACCAATAAAGATTTTGATGCCAACGGACATGGCTAGACACTATAGCTGTGGGATGTCTGAATGGAAATGACTGTAGAGATGAAAACTTCTGTGCCCCTCTGTAATCTCTATCTATAAAAGCCTGGGATTATGAATGCTTGTACGATAAGGGCTTCAATAAACTAGTATCTCAGGGATTTAAGAAATTTTTAAAATAAACACCAATTCATCAGGATGGGTTCAAGAAAAAGCAATTGAGTAAAAATAGTTAATGTAGCCGGGTGTGGTGGTATGTGCGTGTAGTCCTAGTTACTTGAGAGTTGAAGCAAGAGGATCGCTTGAGCCTAGTTATGACTGCACCACCGTACTCCAGCCTGGGTGACAGGGCAAGACCCTGTCTCTTAAAAAAAATTTTTTTTAAAAAGGATTTTTTCGAAAAATTTTACATGGTTAATAAGTGAAGTTACCATATGTGAGTTACCATATATACCACAAATAATTTTTTTATAAAAAATTAAAACAATAAAATATATCCAAAAGAACACACAGCCAGGCACAGTGGTTCATACCTGTAATCTCAGCACTTTGGGAGGATATGGAGGGAGGAGTGCTTGAGGCCAGGAGTTCACGACCAGTTTGGGCAACAAAGTGAGATCCCATCTCTAAGAAGAAAAAAAACGGCCAGGCGAGGTGGCTCACACCTGTAATCCCAGCACTTTGGTAGGCCGAGGTGGGTGGACCACAAGGTCAGAAGTTTGAGACCAGTCTGGCCAATATAATGAAACCCCATGTCTACTAAAAATATAAAACTTAGCTGGGTGTGGTGGTGGGCATCTGTAGTCCCAGCTACTCAGGAAGCCAAGGCAGGAGAATCACTTGAACCTAGGAGGCAGAGGTTGCAGTGAGCTGAGATCGCACCACTGCACTCCAGCCTGGGCCACAGAGTGAAACTCTGTCTCAAAAAAAATAATAATAATAAAATAAAATCAGCCAGGCCTGGTGGCATGTGCCTGTGGTCCCAGCTACTCAAGAGGCAAAGCATGAGGATGGCTTGAGTCCAGGAATTCAAGGCTGCAGTGAGCTATGATCATGCCACTGCACTCGTCTCTTAAATATATATATGACAAAATTATATACATGACAAAATTACATATATATACATAATATTCCTTGATTTTTCAGAAGTTATTTCTCAATCTGTCAGTATCTCACACTTACTACATTAGTCAGCTTTCATCGTACATAAAATCACTGGGAAGCTGGAAAGGACCTTACGGATAATCTAATACTACCTTCTCATTTTACAAAGGAAGAAACATAGGCTCAAAAAGGTAAACTGACTTGTCCAATATTAACAGTTTATGGCAGGGTGAGGGATCTCAGTACATAATTATTTCTTTTATTACAAAGTGAAGAACATTCAACATACTCCAAAAAACTCTCTTAAACAAATTCCCCATTTTATCTTTTTTACTGATTGTCCTCTTCAAACAAACAGAATACATGTCAAATAGATGTATCTTTTTTTTTTTTTATCTTCTCAAAGTAGGTTTGCTAGGGATATCTTCCTACAAATAATTGTGGGGAAAGACAGAAAATACTGACTCATGCTTACCTTCCTGAAAAAAAAATTTAATGTTGGAAGATAAGGAAATAACCTTATTTTCATCTACATGGTTTACTGTTTCTTGCAGAAGAATATTTAGCTATATATTAGGATACTTAATTTTCTTTAAGAAGAAATTCAGGAGGAAATGTTTCACATAATTATATGATGTGAATACCAATACTCTGTAGAACACAATGTATAGACTCTGAAAGAGAAGCTAAGAACCTTAAAACATTCATGAACCTTATATATGACACAATTACTATGCAGTAATTCCTAAAAGTGTTTACCTAAAAAATCTAGCTAACATGGTGCCAAATACACTTTATCTGGCTTGTTAATTGCCATGTCTCATTTTATTGTTGTTGTCTGAGATGAGGTCTCACTCTGTCACCCAGGCTGAAGTGCAGTGGTGGGATCCCAGTTCACCTGCAACCTCTGTCTCCTGGGCTAAAGCAATCTTTGCACCTCAGCCTCCCAAGTAGCTGGGACCACAAGTGCATGCCACCACACCTGCTAATTTTTTGTATTTTTGGTAGAGCTGGGTTTTCGCTGTGTTGGCCAGGCTGGTCTTAAATTCCTTAGTTCAAGCAATCCACCCTCCATGGCCTCCCAAAGTGCTGGGATTCCAAGTGTGAGCCACCGCACCCAGCCAATCATTTTTCAAAGAAAAACTGCTTTAAATTAATAGCAATCTCAAACTCCTGAAATCTCAACTGATCCACCCCCCTCAGCCTGGCTTATTTTTGTATTTTTAGCAGAGACAGGGTTTCACCATGTTGGCCAGGGTGCAGTGGCTCACACCTGTAATCCAGCACTTTGGGAGGCTGAGGCAGGCAGATCACCCGAGGTTGGGAGTTTGAGGCCAGCCTGACCAATATAGAGAAACCCCATGTCTACTAAAAATACAAAATTAGCCAGGCATGGTGGCGCAGGCCTGTAATCCCAGCTACTCAAGAGGCTGAGACAGGAGAATCGCTTGAACCTGGAAGACAGGTTGTGGTGAGTCAAGATCACATCACTGCACTCCAGCCTGGGCAACGAAGTGCCAAACTCCATCTAAAAAAAAAAAAAAACAAAAAAAAACAAAAACACTAGCTAGATGTGGTGATGGACACCTGTAATCCCAGCTACTCAAGAGGCTGAGGCAGGAGAATCGATTGAGCCCACGAGATGGAGCTTGCAGTGAGCCAAGACTGCGCCATTGCACTCCAGCCTGGGTGACAAGAGTGAAACTCATCTCAAAAAAAAAAAATTAATAGCAATCCTAAAACAAAGCCAGTATTGGCAAAGTCATAACTTCTGGCAAAAATGAACACAGTCCATGAGAATAAAAACCTTATCTAATCTCATTGTGAAATTCCAAACATCTAATACGGCACTGGGCACTGGTTCCTTGTACTTTTTGTGGTGATAATATACTTAAATTAAAATCGTAAAATAGTGTTCAATTCAATTTATTATTAACCAAGCACATAGTACATGAATGGTACTATGACAGACATTGCAAACCACAGAAAAATTAGACATCCCTTGTCATAAATGACCTTATAGCATAATAAAAGTGATAGCAATATATCCAATAAAATATAGTAAGTATGGCAAAAAGGTCTATCAAATAAGAGTACAGTAAGAATCCACTGAAGGACGGAGGACGTTTCACCAGGAAAAGAAAGAGCTTAGGGTGACTATTTTGCTTCTGTAAAATACTCAGGCTGAGAATGGTGGCTCATACCTGTAATCCCAGCACTTTGGGAAGCTAAGATGGGAGAATGGATTGAGGTCAGGAGTTTCAGAACAGCGTGGACAGGACAGTGAGACCTTGTCTGAACAAAAAAATTTTTTTTTAATTAGCCAGGCATGGTGGCACACACCTATAATCCTAACTATCCAGGAGGATGAAGTGAGAGGACTTCTCGAGTCCAGGAAGCCAAGGCTTAAAGTGAGCCATGATTGCACCACTGCACTCCAGCCTGGGTGACAGAGCAAGGCCCTGTCTACAAACAAAAACAAAATATCAAAATAATTTCTTTTAAAAATAAAATACTCGAAAGGGTGTTTTATAAAGAGGGATACAGGTTCATTTTGTTTTACTAAAACAGCAGAAATGACACCTATGGGAGACAGTAGTAGGGAGGCTAAGTCAGCATTTCCTCAAGCTTATTCCATAGACCACTGATCCCTTAAGCAACCTCTCAAAAAAAAATCCCACGTTCATATAAATCTAGGAAACACATGCAGTGTTTATATGGTATATGCAATACTAGAGTAGTTCTGGGAGATTAAAAAAATGTGCATGACTATTAAAGACCTATACTAAGGTAATCTAACTTTGTTTAATCAAGTGTTCTCCAAATAGTTCACCACAGGTTTTGTTGCTGTATCTATTTTTGTTTATTTAAAGAATACCTAAGAACACCCAGAAATACTAGGAAGTATCAATTAATAATATTTTTCTGATAATGACACATAATCAAAAGTCTTAAAAAGAAAGACTACCCTTAAAAAAGTAGTAGAAAAATATTTGTATTACAGTATTTGGCTGGTATTTCTCCACCAGACACAAAGTTTTGAACATAAAATGCTTTCAACGAATGGAAGAAAAAAACAGTTCTCTAAAACAGCATATAGTATCGCTAACACTTTAAAGATCAGAATGAATTTCTAAATTTTCCTGAAAGCTTAAAGAACAGAATGTAAACTCAGAATTTAAGACATGAACAACTATTAAGTCCTATGTTTAAGTTCATGAGTTCAATTTTCAATTATCAATATTCTCATGAGAGAATTATTATACAGCCAGAATTGATTATATGCAAAAAGTCAAAAGTTTATCATAACTTGAAGCGAGAGTGAATCTTTATGGAAATTACATCACTGAGAACAAAAGCAATTTTCTTCAGTTAAGGTCAAGAGCGCATCTACTCCTCAAAATGAAGGCAGACCGATGTACTACCATATAAGAAGGCTGAGCCAACAAACCCTTACAAAATGAAATCTCAAGAAAAGGTTCTATTTGATTTTATGTTTGCTTATGAGGCTAGCCAAGTACTGAGGAGAGAGGAATAAGTTGAAAGTAGAGGAAACAAATAAGAACATTAGCTTCCTTCTTCAGTCTGCACAGGTGATCAAGGACCTTTAGATTCAGTTGATCTTCATTATTCATGGATTCAATACATGAACTTTGCCTATTTAATAAAATTTGTTTGTACAATAGCTAGGTCTTCCAGTCACTTGCAGACAAACAAGAATAACAAAAAAACCTGAGTGACCAAACATACACATTCCCAGCTGAGAGCGAACAGGCCTTCTTGCTTCAGTTCTTATAACGTAAACGAGTGTTCTTTCTGCAGCCTATTTAGTGCCATGATTTTTGCATTTTTTGTGTTTTTGTTGATGATTTCGCTATTTCATGGCCAAGTCATTTTGAGTGTTGTCTAGTGTTCTCAAGCACAAGAAGGCTACAATATGCATTATGGAGAAAACAGCTGTGTTAGATAAGTTTAGTTCAGGAATGAGTTATTGTTTTGTTGATAATTAGCTCAATGTTAATGAAACAACAACATTATTTAATCTTTAAACAGAAACACACATAAAACAAGGTTACGTATTGATCAGTTAACAAAAATGCTGTGACCAGATGCTCACAGGTACCTAACCCTGTATTTCCCTTAGGAGCAGTGGTTCAGTATTCACTAATTCAGTGTCCATGACAACTTTATAGACCGTATTACCTTGACTGAGAAGTCAAAATAGTTACCTATTACCCTATGTTACATCACCTCCAGATGTCCTTAATTCATGGAAAGTGGGCATTTGCAGAAAAAGTTTTCAGAAATGGGTAAATGTTGGTTACAGTTTTTATATAAAAGCCCTTAAGAAATGATCATGTTCCTCTTGTAGAAGAATCAATTTTTTTCTAAGTTTGCTGTCAAACTAGTAGTGGCAAACTATGAAAGATGTACAGTACTTTTAAATGGTAAACTCTCAGCTTTCCAGTAAATTCATTTCACTGATTTTAGAACTGATCCTCTTTTCTAAGATGCAGAATTCATATCATCTGTTGGTTTTCCAGGTGGGAGTATGTAAAGGATTCATCTAAATCAATCATGACCTGTAAACTGCTACAGTAGTACAGCATAAGAAACTCTATAGACTATGTCTGTTTTATCTGTTTAAATGTAAAGCTTTATAGAGACATACAGAATGAAAACTGAGACTCCCTTTGGACTGACAGCTTGTAATATAGCTTGTCAGTCAAAAGGAAAGCTTTTAGAAACTTCTCTCAAGTCACTTAGTTTTCTTTTTGAATTGGGATATATCTACATGGGACTCTAGAAATGACATGCTTGACTGATAACTGTCTTTTGCTAGTTCAGTACTCTGTATTGTGTCAAAAAATACATGAAGGAAATAATTAATTATAGTCAACCAACATGGGTAGATGTCTCTACACAGAAAGAAATCTCAGGTTCATTAACATGAAGATGTATGTGTTAGGTGGATTATGTTTGTTTTAATACTTTTTATGGTAAGCAATCTAAACATTGTAATTGAGTATGATTTTAAGGGCTCTCACCTTGGGAGGAAACACAGAGGGCTATTTTTGGAAAGCATACTTGATTATCCTTTTGTGTTCTCAATTTGTTGGAAAGTAAAAGGTGGACGAAGTGTTTGTTTTCTCACAGGGCATGTGGAATAGGTGACTATACCCCTCCTAACTCCCTCCCCCTGTTTTCATCTCCCATATACAACACAATCACCATCATATCTTTGCCTACTGAGCCAACTCCCAATTTTAGTCTTTTGGAGCAACAAAGCACAGGAGTTCTAGTATTGACTTCTGAACACGGACAATGAAAACCACACCAAATAACTGGGGAAAGAGATACGCTCCTCAACTTCGGAATACCCGTAATCTCAAATCCAAATTCAAGGCTTATTGGTTTCTCTCTTTCTAGAAAGTTTCACGTTCTCCTTCATTCAGATAGTTATGTTAGGGTTGTTATAACACCTTCTATATCTGGATTCACTCTTTTACTCCTACGGCCTTCCAAAGGCAGTGGCAATCTTTCTCTTGTGGCTTTCACCTTGAACTCTTACAAAAGGACAATCTCTAGAATATACAATGGAAGCAGGTTAAATTAAGAACCAGTCACTCAAAAATATGTCCTATTGATGTAATGATACATAGCATCAATTGTTAGATTTTACTGACCAAAAAAAAAATTATGTGTTTCAGGAAAAATGGGAGCTAGTAGAACACATGAATGACATCAAGGAAATCAGACAAATCCAGAATGTGAAACATTCCTAGACAGGTGCTCTGCTTTCTCTGAAACATCTCAGGTATAAGGAAAAGTATTTTAAATGAAAAGAAACTAAAATATGAAACAATCAAATGTAATGATTTTTTTTAAATGTAATTTTTTTTTTAACCTACTGAAGAGATTTTGGGGACAACGCATGTAAATAGAAATGATGTCAGGGGAATTGTTGTTAATTTTCTTTGATAGCGCAGGGTAAGTAGGAGAATGTCCTTTTTGGTGGAAATCCTTACTGAAATAATGCAGGCTGGTATTCAGATCTGTGAAACCTACAAAACCCAATATAATTTGTGGGATTCCTGAACAATGCAATATAAATAAAAGCAATCCCAGCACTTTGGGAGGCTGAGGTGGACAGATCACGTGAGGTCAGAAATTCAAGACCAGCCTGGCCAACAGGG